AAACAACTAAATTAAACTAAACCCCACAAAGTCCTGCAGCCAGATTTTTGATGCATTCTAGCAAACATTAACATCCCCCCTCCCTCCCTCTTCTGTTTACCTGAATAATTAGAAATAATTAGATAATTTGGTGGCCTGTGGAGGAACTGACTGCGCACTGAGGAGGTAACCCAGCTATTGAATCAGGTGTGTGGGACCAATTGTGGATCTAAAAGTTGCAGGATACTGGCACCTGGGATCTGGAATTGCCCACCCCTGGTTGAAGCAGAGATGCCCAGACTTCCCAATGCATGCACACCTCCTCCAGCTGCTCTGGGGGGCAAGAGGCGACACCAGGCCAGCTCAGAGACATAGACCCTCCAGCATGTCCTGGACCTCCCGCAAGGCCTCCTCCCAATAGGACATCACTGGACACCTCCAGATGGAGGCGACTGGAGGCATCAGGAATAGATGCCTGAGCCTCCTCAGCTGGCCCCCTTTGATGTGGAGAAGCAGCGACTCGCACATCTAGGCCTCTAAAGTCCAAAGGTTACTTATGTAATCCTCTTCTAAAATATAACATCACTCGTTCCCCTTCTTTAGGAACCGAGCCTTTCAGTCCACGCCACCAAGGCTGGAGAACAGTCTTCACCTACAGTTATTAAATAATTAAACAGTTCTCTCATTAATAGTGTATTTTTTGTGTCACTTTATTGCCATTCAATCTTTTTTTTAATACAGCTCATTTTTGATGGTTTTGGAAGGTGCTTAATGAATCCACATTACTTGAAGACAAACAGAGACCTAACGGCTAACTGAGACCATTTTATCATCACGTTAACAGCTTTGGAGATCTGGATACTGATGAACAGGAAGAACATGCAGAAAATTCTTATTTCAGCACATTTGAGTTAGGTTCCTAAAAAAAGACATTTGGAAATCTCTGATTTGCCACAGAAGTTTAAAAAAAATTATATTTATTTACAACATTTTGATTAAAGAAACAGACACTGATGGTTCCACAAAGAAAGTTATGGTAACAGATTAATATAAAGGCTCCAACATGTCTAGTTTTACACTCTGAAGAAACGGTTATGCTAATATGTACAAATACACCAATAATCTCCCAAAATGTTGCAAAAAAACATTTTATTTTCCTCCTAAATATTATTTCAGTGTAAAAAGTTTTTAATTTTGCCTCAAACTTTCACTTCCAGCTTGACCATGCTGCCTTTAAAGTGAATAACAGATATGATCCAGTCTTCGCCCCCACGCTCTCACGAAGGCGACGCCGGGAAGCTGGAGAAGACGTCTTCGTGTTCAGCTACGGTAAAACCAGCCCTGCTTCACATCAGCGAACAGCTGTTCTGAGCAGACGTGGTCCAGCGCAGCCATTTCAGCTTGTCCTCGGTGTACGGTGGGTAGCGCAGGCCGTTGAGCCGCTCCAAAGCCCAGCCTCTCAGCATGCAGGACCGTCGGTGACTGAACTGCTCGAAGCCCCAACGGCCGTGGTATGAGCCCCAGCCGCTGGCTCCTGGATGGAAGGAGAAAAAAAAGATCAGACAAGAGGAAGCCGATGGTAGCTGTGGGGGAGCTGCAGAGCACCAGTGCTCAGGTGGGAGGGAGGGCACTCTGCTGTCAGCCGTGACCTCAACAAATCTGAACTTGGTGGAAAACAAGTAAAAGGAAGACCGCTGTTCCAATCCACGATGAGACTCAGTAAACATGTCAGATGTTAAAAGAGCAGATTTACCAGAATGTTTGACCACCGACCTTTAAAATCACAAAACTACTACCTCTAAATTTTATTATTTTTAGTTTAACTTATCAATAAAATAAAATAAACAAAAAAAACCCTTTCACACCGTTATTTACTCAGGTTATTTCTACCTGCAATGTGTCTCTCCACCCTGCAGGGGGCGCACCACCCAAGCTTTCCACTGAACCAGTGAGGCAACATATTTATTACCAGCCTGCCTGAACGCTCAGACAATATGGAAGCCAAATCGTTACCATATTTCAAATGAAAAAGCATTTCCAGAAATGCTTTTTCATTTTAAGAATGTGGCTGCATTTTAACCGCAGGCTATGGAGGACCAACTCTGCCATATTTAAAAATAAATACAGAAATAAATAAATGCTCAATAAATATATAAGCATACAATTAATTGCCA